GAAATTCAAGCACCTGAGTAGAAATTTAACACAGCTCTGTTTACATCTGAGCTCTCAAGGCTTTAATGAAAACAGAGCTCTTAAAACACTTCACTGACCCCCTAACACAGGTCTTGACTAAATGTAAACAGGACCTGAATAATAGCCTTGTTTATTGTTCTGCTCACTCCAGGGTTGGGTCTTTAGCCTTGATGTTTTGTACTTAACACACCAGAGAGGAATGAACACCAGGACATTAAAAGACCTGATGTTTAACCTCCTATGCCCAGGAGACCTGGTTGCTCAGGGCCCTGCCTGCCTCTCTGCCCTCACTTCACACCACCACCCAACCTCTGGTGCTCTAAGTACATGGGCCTTCTTTCAGTTCTTTGCTCACGGCTGCCCCAGGACCTTTGCACCTGCAGTTTCCACCACCTGGAGCCCTCTTCACCTAGTTAATCCTCACTGATGCTTCAGATCACAGCGTAAGCATCACCTCACCATTCCTGGCCTCCGTGGCAAGATCAGGTCATACCAACATGGGCTTTCATCACATCAGCTGTGTTGTAGCAGCTGTCACAGTTGCACTTCTACATCTTACAAGTGTGATTAGTTGAGTAATGATTCTCACCCTGACTGAATATAAATTCCAGGAGAGAAGGGTCCATGTCTGTCTTTGATCATTGCTGTCTCTCCAGTGCCTGGCCAATAGGGAACCACTCGAAGGGATGAATGAAAAGCTAACACTACTCCATTGGGAAGATTCTGGAAGAGGACCATGTCTTACTGAGGGTTGTATTGCCAAAACCTAACAGGAACGACAGTAACAACACAGATAACAATGTTGAGAGCTTTGAGGACCAAGTTCCAACCGTGTTCCAACCCATTTTTGATAGACTATTTATACAACAACTCAATTTAATCTCTAAAAGAATCCTATGGGAGTAGACACATTCCTATCCCTGTTTCTCATAAGAGGAAACTGAGGCACAAAGAAGTTGGTAAGTCAGCCAGTCACAAGGAGAACAGCAATACAATCCCAAGCTGTCTGGTTCCAACTGCTAAGCATCTTGTCTAATATGATTTCTAATGGTACAGCAGGGCACGGTCCATGTTTATAGATAGATGGCAGCTACCATGTATGAACCCTCTCCCCCTGCCTCCCCTACCCCCCCCCCCCACACACACACACTATATATATACATGAACACGTGGATGAACCCCCTCTGGAGTAGAAGTCTAGACAGATAAGGGTCTCGGAACTTTAGAGCCATAAGAGCTACATAAAAGTCAACAGAAATACCAACAAGAACCAAGCAGAAAACAAAACGTAAGGTACGTCTCCCAGTGGAACAGTGCCCTCTGCCCCAGCTCAGGCCCACGGGGAATGTCCCCGGCCTGGCCTGCAGGTACCTGATGTTTTCGTTCAGCGCATAGAGCTCGTTGCTTTGCAAGCCTCCACCTTTGAAGACGTTGATCACGGCAGTCTGAACACTGTGGGGAAACAGAAACAACCCCTGGTTAGAGGATCTACCTCCCCAGGGCCATCTCCACAAGTAGCTCAGAGCTGAAGGCGGCTGGAAGGGCCAAGACGCCCGTGGCACCAACATGGCCACGTTCTCCCTCCCTGGAACCCATCATCTCCTCCCCAGGGTCCTTGGAGGGGAGGACAGACGAAGGACCCGAAGCAGCTGCTGTCCCCCTGCTTTCTTGCAGGCTTGGGGTCTTCCTCCCGCACCTCCCTGGCAGCCCGGCAGGTGAGTGGCGATGATAGAGGGCAGGCGGTGGGATCTGCTCTCAGAAAACTGTGGCCAGCACCAGTGGGCCTGGAAGAACCTGAAACGGTTGGTGTTTACTGCAAACAGCTGCTGACCTCTGCCTGGGATTCCTTCAGAGGGCAGCCTGGGGCTAGTAGAAACTGATGATTCCTTGCCTTTTTTTTTTTTTTTTTTAAATACTTTCCTTGGAAGAATTTCACTGGGGCTAGCCTCACCTGCCCTTCCATTCCCACTCCCGTGTCTTATACACAGGCAGTAGAGTTCTTAGTCTCCGGAGGGGCCACAGTTAAGTCTTGACTTCCCCTTCTCTGGGACCCCAGCCCAAGATTTCAGCAAGAAGCTGATTACAATCTTGTCTTCCCCAAGGGTCCCAGGCCTTTTTGAAAGAACAAGAATGCATCAACATCAAAACATTTCAGAGCCCCCTCTCCCCCTCCATCATAAGAGTTGTGCAATCACTGAGAAAACCCATAATGATCCAAACTACAGAGAATGCAGTAATGCTTTCAAATCATGATGCATTTCATTTATCTGAAGAGTAAGTGCACAGATTTGGAAAACAGTGGCCCACAGAAGCACAAGACAGAGTAACAATTCAGTCTCTACTCAGGGCTTGGTGTGCAAAAACTCAGCTAGACATCTTCCAAAAGTCAGTGTCCCCTCCCAACCACCTGTGGCTCACCGATTATATGATAATCCCTGGTCTATGCTGCTCATTTAGCTTTTCACAGATACGTCTTATCTTCCCAAGTAGGTAGAAGGTGACTTGAGGTTGCTTATATGGTAGGGACTCTGAGTTGGGGATGTGACAAATGAGCAAGAACAGTAACTGTAAGTTTCAATTCAACTGTCCCGGGCTGGTTAACTGACTCTGATCCCCAGGGGTCCACTCTGCCTCTGCTAACAGGGAAAGCTCACGGGTACATTTTCTGTAGGAAAACATCCTGTCTTCCTCTATTGCCCCTATAATCACGACCTTCTGAAGCAGAGATCACAGAAGCAGGAGAGAAGCTAAGCCAGTCCGCTGCCTTGCAGCCCCCCACACCACACCTGGCCGCCTCCGTTACCTGTTCCAGGCCGAGTTGGAGCTCAGCTGTAGAGCCTGCCGGGCGGCTTGGAATCGGGGCAGGTCGCTGAGAACCGGGGAGCTCATGAAGCGTGGCCTGGGCCTGCGGAAGGAGCCCATCTTGTGGAACTCGGTGGGCAGGATGGGAGCGAAGCTGCGGGTCATAAGTCCACGTGAAGGGATGGCTTCTCCTCTGGACCAGAAGGTTCCGACTGCCCACGGAAAGGCTTTGCCCAGGGCTGCCTTCGGGCCCCCAGGCTTTCTTAAAACCACAAATATAGCCAACACCTGAAAAGAGAGGGCAGCTTTTAAAAACTCCTAGGCTGAGCAGACCACATCTTAGAGGAAGTTGGCTGGGACTTTCCAGCCAAACCATCCTAAAAACAACTCCAGGACACTGCAATAACATCTGTGCCCTGCAGGTTCCCAGTCACAAGTTTTCTGGGTTTGTTTTTTTGTTGATTTTCCCAGTCACAAGTTTTTGCAGGTCTCTTTTTGGTTTAAACAGTGTGGTCACCCCAAAGTAAGGAGGCAGTGACAACGGGACCGGGTTGAGGCTAGTCCTACAGAAAAGTGATTTCTAAGCTGTGCTTGACGGTGGTTCCTAATTCATACCCATCAAAGCTTGGCCACCGGCTAGGTTTCTGTAGACCCCGCCACATTGTGCATTAAGGGACAGCTTTTTCAAAATGCCTCAAGGAGAACACATCCTGGGACTGAAGACATGCCATGATATGCCCTCCCCATGCCAGCCTATGGGCACTGCCCAGTATTTCCCAAAGTATCAGCGCCTCTTCACTCAGGCGCATCGTCCCCCCTTTCCTTACCTGCCAATCCTTCATTCGGTCAGAACTGATCTATCGCGTGTTTACTATTTAGTCACCACTGGAAGCTGTGGGGCACAGAGATTTCTAAGACCCAGTCCCTGCCCTTAAGAGGCTCATGGTCTCTAGGAGAAGATACCTGTCTGCTTGTGGATTCATTGACACAATGTTTATTGAGCACCTACTATGCACCAGGCACTCGCTCAGGCAGCGGGGATACAATGGCAGCCCCTGAGAAGGGCAGTCCCTGCCCTGCGGAGCTTACAACCAGCAGGCACTTTTCCATGCCATTCTCTTTCCCTCTCTCAGGCTTTCTGATTGGATCCACTGCTCCTCTTGCCCAGAATTCCCTTCCTTTTCGTCTCTCCTTATCTAAATCTAAGTTACCCTTGCAGGGTTGGGCTCAAAGATACTGTCCTCTGAGCAGTTCCTGGGCAACTTTATGGCTTCTTAGTTAACAGCAATGGCTTTGGAGTGAACCCTGGTTCGAGTTTTAACGAGGCCACTCCCAAGTTATGTGACTTTGGGCACATTGAGTCTAGGCGTTCTCAGCTGTCAGCACTGCCAGCTTCACAGGACCGATGAGAGATGAAACGGGACTGCATGGCACGCCCAGGAGAATGGCCGACAGACACCCCTAAGTGCTGTCAATTTCCATTTAGACCAACTGCTTTCTTTCCTCGGCACCTCTGGACCTGTCATTTCCATCGCTTATTCTTTAGTGAACCTAACGTCTTGGATGATGTAAAGGGAGTTTTGAAGCTGGTCAGAGTGAAGGGCAAAAGAAAAAACCACCAAGGTTATAGTCACTTTTTTTCTCAAGAGTTTACGGATTAGCCCAGAAGTATTCTCACCGCCAATTCTCTCATCAGCTAACTGCTGTGTCCCAAACACCAATGCTGAAAGAACAAGAGACATTCCAGCCATACATGTCAATTTTTGGGTTGAGACTGGAAGGTTTTGCAGCCCCAGCTGTAGCGTTTGAAGGAGGAGGAACTCAGACTGTGAGACGGGCACTGAAGGCACCCATCAGAGAGCATGGGAGGTGCTAGCAGCTGTCTGTAGGCAATGGGCATAGTGACAATGAACTTGTAAGGCCGAGAGCCAAAAAACGAATAGCTTGTCCTTCGCCTCTGAATTTTTTTTTTTAAAGGAAAGCAGAGTTGTGTGCCAATTTCTTTTACAGTCTTCTGCTTCTCTACCCCACTCTCAGAATGAGTCAACAGTGACTAAAATTTATCAATGAATGCCGGGGAAGTAAAAAATAATGTGTCTGCTCAGTTTCAGAGGGTCTCAGTAACTCCACAAGTGCCACTGGAATTTGGAAAGATCTATGCAAATCAATGAATGAGGCAAAGCAGTAATAAAACCACAGAAGCCCCCTCAGCATCCTTCAGCTGGCTGGCTTTGGGATTTAACTTACCTGGAAAAGGTCACGCTGTTAAGAGAGGACCCATTTCACTGCCCTTCTTTAAACGAGCCAGCTAAGTGCAATTCATCTGTGTAATTACAGGATATTAACTCCTTTTATGAGGTTCTTAAACGTGAGGTGATGGGGCTGCCGCCTACTCCGTGGTACTTGTACAGGGAAGTAGAAAAGTGAGCTGAACTAAACCTAAATTCCAGGTGTGTACCTTCGGGCTCCCTGACAAAACAACCATTCTCCAGGAGGCTGTGTGACCCTGAGGATCACGGCAGTGGCTCATGTCCGCCCATCCCACTTCCCCGTTAGTGCCACTCTACCCCAGGCCTCCACTGCAAGTCATGTGCTTATCCAGCAAGGCGCACAGGCAGCCCCATCGACATAGATGACCCTTTTAAAATAAGGGTAATTTTCAGCCAAAAGGACGATGACTGCAGCTCCCACAGCCTCACGACGGCTGCAGAGGAACACACAACAAGGAGCTGCCTCTGACTCATTTTTCACGTGCACAATCTGCCAGCCTCAGATCCCGACAGGCTGAAGACAATCCAAAGCCGTGTTTGTTTCCACCGTTCTGGCTTCTGGACAGAGCCAAGAGGCCTCCACGGAGCACCACAAAGAGGAAGCTGCTGGCAGAGCTGACAAGAGTGGCCTAAAGGGAAAAGCTGACACACCCTGAATCTACTTGCTATAGTGCTGGCCCCTCAGGCACAGGCTTGTCTCGACCTAAGTATGACAAATCAGACAAGGATGAGACAGATGGAGCCTTGGAGTGCTGCCAACCCAGGCCCCCCACTTACAGGTGACGCAAGTGAAGCCCAGAGGAGCAGAAAAACTTGTCCAATATTACTGAAGTAGGAGAGAGCCAGCATGGGCTAGAACTCAGTTCCCTGACTCTTGATCTGGAAAGTTCCCCAGCCCCCACCTAGGCCATTCTGTAAACTCCTCGAAGACAGGCATCAGGACTTGCTCATCTCTGTATCCTCAAGTCTAAACTTAGATAAAAATGAAGGAAAGGATAGCAACTGATGGGGCAATGCCTGCCTGTCTGACATGATGACAAGCACCGTCACAGTAGGTAAACTTACTCAACCCTCACAAACCCCCATTGGAAGATCAGAGAAGTTAAGTAACCTGCCAGAAGTAACACAGCTAATACATGGTAAATCATCAACAGGGCCCAGGTAGGCCTAATTCTACAGCCCACTGCTACTTAGCCACGGTACCAAGCTCGGATAGAACATCAAACGTACAAAGTTAGTCAGGGATATCCAGTCATGAGATTTCATATCAACATTTAAATCTCATGCCCCGTGATAGATAAACTGACATAAAGAACTCTATGACCACATTTGATGGGGGCAAGGGGAGCAGGATGGAAGGAGAAAACATGGATTGCCTTAGACAGCCCACTCCTTACTAGCTGTGTAACCTAGGGCAAGTTACTTGACCTCTCTGAGGCTTGATTTCCATCTGCATGGAACGAGTGACTACATCAGGGTTGCATATGGATAAAACGAGTGCCTTATTTCTAAAGCATGGCAAACAGCGAATGCTGCATCAGTGCTCGTTAAATAAATAAAATAACTTGTTATTTCTAAATCTCCAAGCAAGAACAGTAGTGGGAATACAGCAACACTTCCTCCTGCCTATGGCGACCTCAGTCACACCTGGAAAATACTAGGGAGTAGGCAAGGTCTCTGGTCCTGGCGGTGGTCACAGTGCATCAGGGCCTTGTCTCCTCGGGCCTTTGGTAAGTCACAGGTTATTGACCGACCCTTCACCTCCGTGTAGCATGTGCCTCAGTTTCAGAGGTTTTCCACACATCATCACACTTCCAAATCTCACTCTAGCCCTGTAAGACAGGTCAGGCAGGTGAGAAAATTGAGGCTCACAGAGGCTCAGTGACATGGCCAATGCAGGAAAGCTTTGGGCCAGGGAATCCGACCTGGCTGAATGTCTTCCAACCTCATCCTGGCCTTAAGGAATAGAACGTTACCTTAAAAATCCCATGTGGGGGTGGCCAGTTAGCTCGGTTGGTTAGAGCACCATGCTCGTAACACCAAGGTTGCTGGTTCGATCCCCACATGGGCTACTGAGCTGCACCCTCCACAACTAGATTGAAACTACTTGACTTGGAACTGATGGGTCCTGGAAAAAACACACTATTCCCCAATAAAAAATAAATGAATAAATCAATCAATCCCATGTGCTTCTGTTTTTCTGATAAAAGCATACCTGCTTATTGATTATTTTAAAAATGTAAACATTCACAGGTGTCTATAACATACAAAATGAAAGGCCTCGCTCTGGCCACTTAATAATGTAGGGAAGCTCTACCCAGAACTTTCTGAGATGACAGAAACGCTCTCCACCTGTGCTCTGCAGTATGCTAGCCACAAGCCATATGTGGCTATTGAGCCCTTGAAATGTGGTTTCATGGTTGAGGGGCTGAATTTTACTTTAATTATTTGATTTAATTTTTAATAGCCATACACACATGTATACATAATGTTTTAATAAAAATGGGTACTTGGTTCTTTCCTTTCAATAATATATCATGGACGTCTTCCCATATCACTACCTATGTATCTATTTCATTATTTGTGATGGTTTCTTAACTCTTTCATTTAAGGGGTACCGTACTTGATTTAACCCATCCCCTACGGGTGGATAATTTCAGTAGTTTCCAGTTTTTGTTACTGCAATGAATGAGCATATCTGCCAATCTTAGCAACCGCGTGACCATATGCGTAGGGTGCGTTCTCAGAAGTGGGACTGGTGGATCGAATGGCCTGGTGATTCTAGCTGCAGTCTGTGACTAACATCCAACCCCAGCCCAGCAAGAGCATTGCAAAAAAGGAGTTGAGAGGCATAAGGCCTGTAGATCCAAAGGATGAGTGGCCACTAGAGGCTTTGGAATCAGACAAACCCTGGCATCAATGCCCATTCTGCCAGTCACTAACTGTGGTAGGCAGAAAAACATGTCCCCCAGGATATAGTCACTTCTTAGTCCCCAGAAGCTCTGACTATCACCTTAG